ATAGATTAATTGAGTATATTTGAAATTGATTTTTCCTGACTAATTTAAATCTATCTGATTTCATCCTGTTTATCAATAGATTCAGAAATCTCTTTGATGAGCATAAAACTGCAAAATAATTTATTTATTTATTTAATTTATTTATTTTTGAGTTTCGCCCTCCCCCCCTCCCCCCTGCATAGCTTTGAAATTCGAATAAACAAAGAGCAAATGGAAAAAACTGCGCATTTTGAAAATGAAATTATCACAGTTCAATACTTCTTTAGTGCCTTTGAATTCACTTTCACATAATTCATTAATTTCAGACAAAACAAATACATGGAACCTGGAGTATATTCTAAGCTAGCAATTAATGTGCGATGTTTTAAAGTGCAGAACATAGCTCTCATACATTATTCTATTTCAAGTCAAGGGTTAATGTTAGGCGTGGCATATGTGGCAATAAATTAACAGACAAATTGATAAATATTTAATGAACTAGGTATTTGCAAAAGAATTTCAACTTCCCTTAGACTTTTTTGGAAAGAGGAAAAAAACAGATTGTAAAACCACTGATAGGAAAATAGAAGATTGATTTGGGGATAACGATCCCTTAAAGCTATTGCGAGCGAAAATTAACTCGGAGGATCCGTATGTGAAAGCCGACATTAAAGATTTAAAGAAACATACTTTGACATTGAACTGTTACGAAAATTCTTCTTAGTTCTTTCATACTGAAGCAACTTTAGACTGATCAGATGCGCGATAGACTTACCTCCACGTGGTGCACCCTGGACAACGTACGATAGACTTACCTCCACGTGGTGCACCCTGGGCAACGTACTTTCTTACGGCAAAAATTCTATCACTCGGCATTCGTTTTTCTCGTACGGCAAAAATTCTACCACTCGGCATTTGACTTTTATTTATTATGATCAGCTTGAAACGCAGCTATAAGAGAAATCGCTCTCGTCAGGGCGAATCACAACTTCTACAGATACTTTAGTGGAATGCTGGAGGGGTGTCAAATGACAAGAAGATCCAAATTCAGAAAATCCTACATACCTATGATATACGGGTATTAACAATCATGGAAGCAAACATTTCGGATGACAAACTGAATTACTAACAATTCCCAGGTTACGCCCTGTACCTTCTACCTAAATACCGGCAATTTGCAATTAGAATTCTGACTGGAGTAAAAGAAGGTCTCACCTCACACTACGATCTAATCAAGAGTATGGGCTCGACACAAGACAAATGTGAAATAATCAGATTAAATGTTTGGAAATGTCAAAACCACTTCAAGGTATACGCAGTCTATTATCCACCACCAGAATAGTCCTGACCTTGATCATCTGAGCATCAAACTAAACTGAAGTATTAAGAGACTTAAACGCCCATTCCACCATATGGGGCTACAAGGATACAAACATAGCTGGAAAGGAAATCGAAGACATGCTAAACAGCAACATTCTGGAACTATCATGCTAAACAGCAACCCTCTGGAACTTATTTACAGCAATAAGGATCCGGCGAACAGGGATCCCGCTACATATTTGCACTACAATGGAACCAGAACAGCGAAACGGCAACCCCCTGGAACTTATTTACAGCAATGAGGATTCGGCTACATATTCATTGCAATGGATCCAGAACAACTCCTGATTTACTCTTGGCTTCAAGCGACATCAGTGAGCATGTACGCCGCAAAATAATTGACGATCCTGGTTCTTGTCACAAACCGGTCATTGCTAGTATTACCATCGGCAGCAAAAGCATGACAATGAAAGTGCCAATTAAGCTATCATGGAACTTCAAAAGGCTGACTGGTCTAGATTCACAAGCCTTTTAGCGAATGAACTTCACACAAACCCCCTCAACTTTAACCAACATCCTGACAAACTTTGCACTGATATCACGAATATTATGATCAGATGTGCAAAGAAAACTTTTCCTCGTGGCAAGACTAAACACTATCGAGTGTTTTGGTCTGAACACCTTGAGGAACTGAAAAGAAAGCGGGACGCCCTTTGCAACACTGCTGATCAAACTGGAAGAACGGAAGACGTACAAGCCTGGAGACGGCAGTCAGCTGTCCTAAGACAAACCATCTTACAAGCTAAACGGACTACCTTTGATAACTTCATTTCAAATATCAGCTAACAAAATGATAGCTAACGCACTTTCAAATTCCTGGGTAACCTCCTAAACAACAAGGAAATACCCAAGAAAGCACCCATACGCTTAAACAACAAACTGCTTTCCACCGACTCCGAAATAGCTAATTACTTTCCGTTGTTCTATTCCCACAAGCAAAAGAAAAATCATTTTGTTAGAAAATCTTCAAGAGATATAAAGATACAAGTAAGAGAGTTTGGTGAAACTAAGGAAGACACAACAAAACCAAATAATGTACTTACTGAACCATTCAGACATTGCGAACTTAATGCTGATGTACTTACTGAACCATTCAGACATTGCGAACTTAATGCTGCGATAAAACAGCTAAAGTGTAAAAAAGTCCCCTGGCGAAGACAGAATTCATTCAAGGAAACCATTCTGACGTTTTCAACAAAATCTGGGAGACCAATCTCGTACCTAACCAATGGAAATTTGCCCTAGTAATACCAGTACTAAAAAAGGGCAAAGACCCTAGCAACTTCGACAACTATAAACCTATCTCCCTCACAAGCGTGCTGGCTAAACTTATGAAAAGAATGGTTAACAGGAGGCTGACCTGGTTCCTTGAGACCAACAATATTCTTAACGATGAACAAGCAGGTTTTAGGCTACAACGATCAACTAACCAACAAGTGGCCACTTTCTCCCAACATATCAAAGATGCCCTTGATGCAAGAAATACTCTTACAGCTTTATTTGTCGATTTCAAATCGGCATATGACTTAGTATGGAAAGAGAAGCTAATTCTAAAATTCTCGAAGATTGGTATTAAGCATAACGTGCTAAACTGGATAAAAGCATTCATTGGACAAAGATCGTGTAAAGTCAGATACGGAAATGCTCTATCAAAATCCAATCTTTTACAAACAGGCCTTCCACAGGGAGCTGTCACAGGCTGTCCTCTTTTCAATTTCTTCATCAATGACATAGATGAATCATGTGCTAACTTTATGCCGATGATCTAGTGCTATGGTATTCCGCCCCTAAGAAAAACGCTCAGTCGAGGACAGAAAGTGCCCTAAATTATGCACTAAAACTGCTAGCAAACTGATGCGACAACAATGGAATAGTTATCAACACAGCAAAATCTGCATTCCAAACATTTTCTTTGTCCCGTTGCAGCATAAATCCGCTTCTAAAGTACAAGGATACTAACATAGAAAAAATCAATGAGTTCACATATCTCGGAATGACGATTGACACAAAGCTAACGTGGAAAAGTCACATTGCTAAAATCCAGAACGCGTCTCCAATAGACTGAATGTCCTGAAGCGTCGTGCTGGTAAGTATGGGGCTGTGCGCGCTCAACTCTAAACACCACTTACATATGGGGCTGTGCGCGCTCAACTCTCAACACCACCTACAAGGCCAACAGACTGAATGTACTGAAGCGTCTTGCTGGTAGCGTATGGGGTTGTACACGCTCAATTATTAACACCAATTACAAGATGTTTATTCAGCCAATAATGTTATATTGTTGTGAGCCACTCATTACAATCACAGAGGTGACTCTCAAACCACTCGAGAAGGCACACAACCAAGCATTACGACTAATTTCACTCGAGAAGGCACACAACCAAGCATTACGACTTATTACTGGGAGGAATAAAATCAACACCCATTGATGCAATGCTCCAAGTTACAGAAGATAGAATTACACTCATCCATAATTACGACTAATTACTGGAGGGATAAAATCAACACCCATTAATGCAATGCTCCTGGTTACAAGGAACACCACAATATGTTCCCTTATCAAAGAGATGGCCTTGATGTTGTATGAGAAGCTACTGCGCATTCCCATGGTTAAGTTCTTCAGCACCTACGAGAATAGACCAAGACATCTGAAAACACAATCTGGTCTAATACAGAAAGCCATAGAACTGAAGAAAGAATTACAAATCGATGACAAACCAAAAAGCCTCTCTCCCCCCATGAACCCATTAGTAGACACTGATGTAGTGTGTTGCACCTAACTACTCGACTTCTTCAGGAAATCAAACATCCCTCCAGAACAAATGCGCTCACTGGCCCTTGAGGCAATCAATGTCAACTATCCTGCAGATCAATGGCTCTAAGTCTTCACTAATGGGACATACATAGAAAACCAAGCTAACGTTGGTGCAGATGTCTACTCCGAACTCTTCCCTTTCTACGCAACAGTGGTGCTCAATAGATCCGCTTTCAAATGAGAAATAGAGGCCATTAGTATAGCACTAAGCCAATTATGTGGCCTGGATACGAAATTCACCAAAGCAGTAATCCTTACGGACTCATAGTCAGCAATACACTCATTTGAAAGCAGAGAGCCACCCAAAACAGCCAAGATATACGATTGTAAAAATCTTTATCAGCTGCTGAGAGAAAAAAACAAAAAAGTGGTCCAACAATGAATTTTTGGTCACTGTGACATTAAAGGCAATGAGCTTGCTGACGCACTTGCCAAGAGGGGGACAACAATTTTGCAAGGCATAGACCGGCAGATGTCTTTCCACACAATGAAGACCTTAATCAGGAGGGAATTCAAGACCTATAGGTGCAATGAACTTAAAGCTGGAATTCAAGACCTATAGGTGCAATGAACTTAAATCTCGACTAAAGAGAAACAGTGGACATTGACACTCTCCGACATAGCCGACTGGTCAATAATAGAAGCCGTTGCTGAGTTTAGACTACGTTCCGGACATGATTGCCTGGCAAGGCACCTTCACAGATTGGGAGTATACACTCAACCCACATGCCCTCTATGTAACCTACAAGAGGAAATGGAGAAGACCCACCATATGTAACCTACATGAGGAAATGGAGAAGACCCATCTGATCTGTAACCTACAGGAGGAAATGGAGAAGACCCACCTGATGTGAAACCTACAGGAGGAAATGGAGAAGACCCATCTGATTCTCTACAGGAGAAAATGGAGAAGACCCACCTGATTCGGTGTTCAAAGGAGGAAATGGAGAAGACCCACCTGATTCGGTGTCTAGCCGGAGAAGACCCACCTGATTCGGTGTCCAGCCCTAGAGACAAGGGAGTCTGATTAATGTAACCTACAGGAGGAAATGGAGAAGACCCACCTGATTTGGTGTCCAGCTCTAAAGACAAGGACGGAAAGCCAAAGATATATACAGGAGGAAATGGAGAAGACCCACCTGATTCGGTGTTCAGACGGAGAAGACCCACCTGATTCGATGTCCAGCCCTAAAGACACGACGGAAAGCCAGAGATACTGGGAAGCAAGAAGACAGCTTACGGAAAGCCAAAGATACTGGGAAGCAAGAAGACAGCTACGGAAAGCCAGAGATACTGGGAAGCAAGAAGACAGCTACTCCGGAAAGCCAGAGATACTGGGAAGCAAGAAGACAGCTACAGGAAAGCCAAAGATACTGGGAAGCAAGAAGACTGCTAATGTCTGCTATTAATTAACTGCTATATATGTACCCCCCACCCATGGGCTGTACTAATTGGCTGCTATATATGTACCCCCCCCCCTACCCATGGGGAAAGCTGAAGTCAAAGTTTAAGGGGTAACGATAAATATCATAAAGGCTGTCATTTGAAAAAAAAGTAAGGGTTATCAGATGGCTAAGAAAAAATTTTGGACAAATTCATGGATAAAATAAGCTTGCAGGTCACCCTGAAGGTTCTGGTTTGATCAGGGAATTGTGATACTAATAGCCAATGATGTTATTGCCCGATTCTAATAACGCAAAGATTCAGTTTAACATATTTCAAGTTGAACGATGAAGTGTGGTGTCTGCAGTGCATATTAATGAAAAAGAAAGCAATTGGATCATTTTAGATGTTATAGGCCGTGAATACCCAACGCCGTGCAACACAAACCAACAATTAATATTGCCATCAAATTCAAAAAAATTTATTTTTCCAAAAAGGGTGTGAGATAGACTTACCTCCACGTGGTGAACTCGGGGCAACGTATACTCATAGGGCAATAAGTCTATTATTCGGCGGTTGACTTCTGACTTCTAACTACTGTAACCCCAATATGTGCCATATCCAACCTCATACAAAGTGCTCACCTTACCTTTTCTCTGCTTTTGTGTCTGTCGGTCTCTTCTTTTTGATATTACTTCCCTCTGTGAAGCTCGAAGTTAATTTAAGGGCTAATGATAACTATCGAAACGCCTGCCACTCAAAATAAATGAATTAATATTTTTTCCCCAAAAATAAATGGTTCAAATACAGCAATAGCATGCGTTTAATTATCCTCCAGACAATTGACTAAGCCCCCTGCCCCTACCCTTTTCCATAATTATCTCCCCTTTTATTGCAGAGAGGTATCCGCTGTTGACTGAATAATAAATTATATAATATTGCAGTATATATATAAATATGGTGTGGTGTAAACTTTTATTGCGCAAAGTAAAATGTCCGGAAAACGACAGAGAATTACGGTTTGGGTATATAATTTAAACGTCCAATTAGAATGACATGAAATATGAAAAGTTAAGCTTTACGTATAACTCAAAAAGGTAAGCTAAAAGTTTAAGTATTGAAATGGCTTTTTCAAAAATGTTATTGAGTTGTCATTGGTGAATCAGAGGGTTTCCTTCGGAGTACACAGCACTTTGCACGGTCATTATAGGAAAGGCATAATTGTAGATGAATTTGAAATGTCAATTGGCATGCAAACATTCGCCAAAGTCAGTCATTAATTGCCCTAAAAGGAAAAATTAAGTTGAACGTGAAGACAGTGGCATCTTAGAATGAAGGAATTGAAGTTTCAATTTCCAAGATTTACTTATTCAGATTCGTTTTCAGTGCATTCAGAAAAAAATGGAAAAAAACGAACACACTCTTGGGGAAAAGATTTATTTTATTTTCTTGAGCAGAAAAACGAATAACTTGAATAGGTCAGTGCAAAACCCAATAGATAAAGTTTAATTTCGAGCATTTTAAAACGTTTCCTAGTAAGATTGATTTTAGTTGTCAATTTTATCATTGTAACATTCAAAGTCCACTACGGTTTAAGTTTAATTTGGCTTTTTACCATAACATTAACTTTTTAATCGAAATTTTAGAAATAATATCCCTTTTAGTTTATATTGGGTTCTAAATATTTGGGCTCAATAAATAGAAGAAATTCTTATCTCGAAGTGAAAAGTCTGTGAGACACGTTATCGCTGTGTGCGTCATCGTATGCCCGCATGCCTGCTCGACAGGATTGGGAGGTGCGGTCGTACAACTCTGCGTGCAGCGACCGTACAGTAACCAATCATTGACCTCTGTTTAACCTAGTCCCCCATCCTGATCATGAGTAGCTTCCTGCGTAGACACTTTATCCACAATATACTGACTGAGTTAACGTGCTCCGTGCTACATGTCTGTTTCCTTTATAGCTGG